CGGGGAGCGGGAGCGGAGCCGGCTGCTCGAGCCAGCGCCGTTCAGCTGCTTTTCCAGAAACACTTCAGCTTTTACAACAAAAGCAGGAAAGAAAAGTTAAAGAAACCCTCCTGTTCCATCAGCGCAGAAAGTATTCCGAGATGAGGTGCAAAATTCCTCCTCGACTTCAAAGTGCCTCTCCCGCCAGTCGCCCCAAATCCTGGCAGCAGCTGCTGGAAAGGGGCTGGACCCCGGTGTCCTGGCGGCATCGCAGGGCCGGCTGCTGTTCCAGGGGAGCCCAGCGGACTTGGAGCGACTCTGGAAAAGCCAGAGAAGCTCTCTGGTCTGCAAACAGGGAGGAGGAGGGATGGGAGAGAGAAAGGAAAAAAAAGAGAAGTTTAGGCTTTGGCAAAGGGATCTCATGTCACTGCAGAAAGGGATGGCAGAGATCCGCAGGGATGGAGGATATCCTTAGGGAAAGGCATCCCTAGGTCTCAATGCAGGGAGTCATGCCGGAGTCGCAGGCAGCCAGGCGAATGGGGCTGCGTCTCCTGAGCATCCCTATCCAGAGATACGGGACCAACATCCCTGTGAAGCACCAGGGTTTAACTGCGAGGCAAAAAGCACCTCCTGGGATTCCTTCTGTGGCCAGGGAAACTTCCTGGAGCAAAGGAGCAGACCTGGTCCCGCGCCACCCCAAACACCCCTGCTCAGCAGCAGCCACCCAGACAGCCCACAGCCCAAAAACGGCCCAAAAACCCACGACCCGCCACCCCCATCCCCACTGGCAAACAGGACACAGCCTCCGTGGGCCTCGGCCACCCCGACTCGCTCCCCTCCGCGGCAGGAGCAAGGCCAAACTGCAGCCTCAGGAGCGGCTCCAAGGGGATTTGGGCATCCGATGCCCGGTGTTTACTGGGATGAGACTCCTAAGAGCCTTCCTGAGGCCGTGCCAGGCAGCTCCAGCCTTGGCAGAGGCAGCACCGCTTGGTGCTCAGCTGCTTGGAAGCGCTCAGATTTGGTCTCATTGCAAGTTTTCATCAGTTGTGGCCATCAGCAGTTTTTTTTTGCATACACCATGTATTAACTTACGTATGTTACGATGTACCCTGTAATGGAAAAATACCATGGCTGTCTTACCGGGTAACGTTTTCAAAAGCACTTGACTCTTAAGTCCTTCAAGTGCTTTTGAAAACGTTAACCTGGGTTGCTATAGGAACCCTAATACTTTTCGCATCTGACTTCTACATTAGTGCTGGAATTTCTATTTAACTTGCTTTCTCTTTCCTCCACGGGAGGAGGCGAGCAGCGAGCGCGCACGCGGGGCTGCCGCACACGCTGGGCTCGTCCCGGTGCCAGGGAGATGCCACCAGGGCAGCCCGGGGCAGATCCCAGGCTGCTCTCACCCCC